TAGTTTATACCTGGGAGCTCTCAAATTGACAGTGGAATGAGGCTCAGAGGTATATTGTTATAAGACAGCTTATATAGTGAGAATGCAGAGGTTGTTTGTTAGTTTCAATGATTGATTATATCATTAGAGTTTTCCTAATGATTGAGGGTTGGTTAAAAGTTACCACCTCGTGCCAATTTGGGGGAACAGCTTGAATTCTTCATCCATGATTTTCAGAGACATATGCAAGAAGTGACCCAAGGTAATATTTACTTTTTTTGCAGAATAAGCCAAGTTAAGTTTGGATTCAGTAATTTTCCTAAAAGCATAATCAAAGTGTCATCGTCATTATCTATTTTAAAACCTGTGTTGTTATATATAGAAGCCCAATCTCCATCATTTGAATCAAACCAAAGTGTGTGATTATAGAATGAGTCTAGAACATGCCTTAAATTAGGTCCAGTACCATGTCTGTACAAAGTTTTCTATGTATAGGGACAGATTCCCAGAAATGAAGTTTGCAGTGGTTATGGGCTATCCTATGGCTTTCAAGCTTCCTCCCAGTACCAGATTAGTTGGCCATAAGTATTAGTTAAATGGCCAAGAGATGGTTACCAAACCTTTTTGTAAAGTCATTTTCCTGTCATCCAAGCATGTATAGGAGCTGGTTCTAATATTAACTGGAGTCTTCCTGAGCATGTAAGTGGGTACATAACCAACAATCATTTTGCTTAGTAAAGGAGGGTATGCATTGAATGGTAAGCCTTAGTGGGTAGAGAAAATCCCTAACAGAAAAAGGAACATGACTGTGAATGTTTTGTGTCAGTTTGTAAAGCAGTAATATCACATTAATTGTCATAAAAATGAGTCCTGGAAAAAGATAAGGGATCTAGCAGAATCTTTTTCTGTGGTCTTCGGTGTAAGCTATCCAATTTGCCTTGTTTTCTGCTTCGAAGGAAGGTTTGTTTGTTTGTTTGTTTGTTTTTCCTGGAAATCCTTAATTTTAAGTTAGCCATAGGTTGACAAGTCCAAGAATTGAGGAGCAGGGGGGTTCTCTTTAGTAGAGAGACATGGACCCGAAGTTCAATACCCTATAATTTAACTGCTGTGTGAAAAAATAGAACCTGGTAGAGCCCTTTTCATCGAGGTATAAGTGTTATTTTTCACTGATATCTCTTTCAGAACACACAGTCTCTAGGTTCCAGTGTAGGAAGTATGAAGTTTTCATCAGGCAGAGGGTCTCTAAAAGCCTCCTTGACCTATTGAATATAAGCTTTTGAATATTGCATCCTTACTTTAAAGTATTGTGTCATAATAGAATATACCAGAGCAGGATGTGCATGGGGTTCTATCATCAAAGGCATGAGTTGCCTAGTGATAAATTCATAAGGTGTTAATTTATGTTTCCCAAAAAGTGTCGACTTCTTTGTCTTAAGGGCTAAGGGTAACACTTTAGGCCAAGGTACTCCTGTAGTTTCAGTCACTTTTGCCAGTTTTAATCTTAGAATATCATTGGTACATTCAACCTCCCCTAAAGACCGAGGATGATAGAGACAATGATAGTGCCATAATGTTTGAATAACCTTGTTTAATTGTTTTATAATCTGTCCAGTTAAAGTGAGCCCTTTATCACTTGAAATTTCATTTGAGATTCCCCAAAATGGAAAACATTTTCTAGTAATTTCTCTGCTACTGTGGTGTCATAAGCTTGCCCACATGGGAAGGCTTGTACCCATATAGAAAATAAACATACCACCACAAGTACATATTGATAGCCCACAGAAGGAGAGAATTGAAAAAGTATAATTGAAAATGTTCAAATGGTCCAGATATGGGGGAGCAGCCCCTAGGGTTAGTTTAATGATTTTACCCTGGTTATATGATTGACAGGTTAAACATTAATTATAAACTCATCATGCTAGTTGAGAGCAATCACCCACGATTATTTTTTCATCATTTGAGACATTTAGTCAGTTCCATGGTGGGTAATCACTTGAAGCGCTTGCAAGAGTGGTAATTGAAGGATTCAGGAAGGACCATCCAGTCACATGTGCCTTCCAAAGTCCTCTTTTTATGATAAATTTGCATCCTTTTTGGTGCCACTTTTGTGATACAATTTTTTGCCCGTTACACAAATTGTCTTAAGTAATCTGATTTGTATGTACAGTGGGCCATAGATTGTGGAAATTCAGGAAAATGCCTTTATCAAAAGGTTTAATATCTATCCCTTGGCCATTTTATGGAGTTTATTTAAAGTTTTGGTACATTAGGAATCTCTTGAGTAGGAGCCTTAGCATGAAAGTTAGCCATTGCATTTCCCTGGTATTCAGGGTCTGATGGGAGGGTATGAGCCTCAATTTCTATGATAACAACTTATGAGGATAATAATAATGTAGAGAGGAGGTCAGCAACCTGAGCTTCTGTTTTATAGGTGTACCACTTGATTTTGAAAATCTTTCTTTCCAGGGGCAGTTGGCTGGCTCAGTGTTGGGGGTTGTGGGTTTGAGCCCCACGTTGGGTGTAGAGATTACTTGGAAGGAAAAAAAAAAATCTTTGTTTTCAGAGCATACCAAAGTCATGAACTACTCTGAAGGCATACCTGCTATTGGTGTAAATATTTACAGTTTTTTCATTTGTCAGTTTACAGGCTCCAATGAGAGCGAACAACTCTGCAGGTTGGGCTGAATTAAGTAAAGAAAGGGCTCCTCTTCCTAAAAACTCATGTTGTTTAGTGACGGCTTGATATTTTCCTTCAGAATTTTTGGCAGAGGAGACATCAACGCAGAGTACTAAATCTGGATTGGCTAATAGGGTTTCTTGTAAATCTAACCTAGGAATTTGATTTGAGGAGACCTAGTCAACAGTTATGAGTCTCTCCTCTGTTAGGAGGGTAGCAGAATTTAAAGAGTTGCAGGAATCCAGCTCCCTGCTCAGCGAGGAGCCTGCTTCTCCCTCTCCCACTGCCACTCCCCCTGCTTGTGCTCTCTCTCTCAAATAAAAAAAAATCTTAAAAAAAAAAAAAGAGAGAGATGCAGGAAAGAATACTGAGGAGGCAAGAGTAGAATCTCACAAAATGTTGTCTACTAGCTGAGAAATGGTGTGTATGCTCAGTGTTTGGCAAACTTTCTACAGCGTAAGGACCCTGTAAATTTAATTCATTTCCCTGAACAATTTGGGTATGTCCTGGTCTTTGGATGCAACTGTAAGCAATAATAGGCTGTAGAGCCAATTTGCCCCTCATTTTTTTGAGTAAGGACTCCCCAAACATGATTATTACATTCCTGAACAAACAACATAAAGGTTTAGGATAGTCAGGAAGTCCCAATGCAGGATTCTGTAAAGCCCATTTAATTTCAGTAAATGTTTCCTCATGTTTGTTTTCCAAAGAAGAGGTTTTTGAGTGTTGTGCATAGAGTGGAGAAGCTAACTAGGCAATGTCAGGGGCCCAGACTGACAATATCCTGCAAGTCTGAGGACATTCCCATTTCATTGAGCTCCCCAAGTGAGTATAGGATCTTTCTTAGGGGCAAGGGTTTTCTGCATCAATGGAAAATGCATAGGATCCCTGAGAGGACATTTAGGACAGGATCACAGAGATGAGTGGACGTTTGTAAGGATTCTGTTTCCCATAATTAGAAAAAATGTTTACTGAGATTTTGGGTTTGGCTGTGTACACAAGATGACTAAAATACTCCCAGCTCTGCAAGAGCTCTTAGTCTAGGAACCGGCAGCTGCCTATGATATGAGAAATGTTGGTCAGAAATATGAATAAAGTATAGCATGGTCTAAAAGGTTCAAATAGGATCTGATGCTACCTGGGGAATGACCTGTCCTGATCCCCATTCTGGCTCCTTCTAACGCCTAGATTACCTGTTCTAGACCAGTGCCTTGGGGCCTCAGGCAAATTTCAGCTTCTCAGGAAACAACTAGCCCTTGTGCTCCCTGCTGGCTCAAAGTCTCCAAGGGAAACTGGTGAAATCGGAAGCCATGGGTTCCACTCTGGCACACCTACAGAAGCACAGAGGATGTCAAGTTGGTCGGATGAATTCACCATTACCAGTCATGAGTGATGATCTGTCCTCTTTCTGATAAGACAAATGCTTTACTGGCATTGCTCTACTCATCCCAACATTTAAAATAAAGTTCAATCCTGATCACATTTCTAAAAAGGCAAAGTAGTCATTTTACCCTCACTTTGCAGATGAAGAAACTGAGGCACAAAGTAGAAAATGACTTCCCAAGTTTGCAGCGGGAAGGTAGAGAGAACACACTGGGGCTACAATCTGGGCCTGTTGCTTCCTGCTCCATCCAGCCAGCCACATTGCCTTTCTCAGGAACAAGATGACCCAAAACCTCCTCTTCCACTCTCCTCTGTAACAAATAGTCGTCATGTTGGCCAGGATATTATGGGACACTAAATTAGTTCACATCATTTTTTGAAGATCATTTTTCAGATCATTCTTCTGAACTCTATGAGCAAAACACTGTGCTGGTTCATTACACGGGAGCATATAGAAGCGGCAGAATACAGTGGTTAAATTAAAGGAGCTTGAAGATGTCCCACCAGTGGAGCCTTGGCTATCTACAGGAAAGACGCAGATAGGTCCATCCTGGTGAGAGAAGAATGCTGCTGCCTAGAACAGTGGTTTCTTTTCTCACATGATGGTTTTCCTTTCAACTTTCCAGTTAACGCCTGGCTTTGTTTACTGTATTGAGATGGTTTATAAACTGAAGAGAGCGACCGGGAGCAGATTTTAAAGCAGAACTAGAGAAGAAAGTCTGGTTCCATTTTCAGAAATATGGGGCTGGGGAAAGACACATTTAGAAGGGGCCTTCCAAGCAGAAGAAAGCTTTGTTTTCCTTCCTTCATTCCCTTTACCACATTCGGGTCATGAAACATGTGCTATATAATTCAGTGTAGGGGATTTTGGGGTGAAGTTCTCTAAGTGCCTTCTGCTGAAGTACCATACCCTATCATGATGTCACCTCTTTCCCTACTTACTGTTTCTTTCCTACTTTAGGAAATACCATTCCTTGATCCAGGATCAGGCTCGAGAGTTGACCCACCTGAGGCAAAAGATGAGGATGGGGAGAGCTTTCTCTTCCCTTCTCATCCAGCATGTCAGGAATACGGTGAGAACCTTTGAGGAGCTCCTTAGCAGCAGCAGAGTTGACCGCTACATGGAACAGCACTTCCGTGAGCAGCTGACCAAGGGGAGCCAACTGGCAGAGAGCCTTACTAGCAAATTCAGCACAGGTAAGCTGGCCCCAGGGCTAAGGAGGACCTTCAGTTCCTCCCAAGGACCCAAGGCTCAGACAAGCCCACATTCACCTACAAGTGACTTTTCAATCTGACGGTCTGCTTTGTAGTCACCATCTTGGAACCATGGTGGAGTCAGGACTGGCTGGTGAGGAACTGGGAGGAGAAGCACACAGGAATGGGGGTGCCAGGATGATGACCAGCTCCTTTATCTCTCAGGGAATATGGTCGCTAGGGCAAAAGGCATCTTTGGGGGGGGTGATAGCATTTATCTGAAACTAATGGGGGCAGGTGGTTGCTGTGAACAGAGCCCTGAATTAGGATCTGGAGACCCTGGCCCTAGCCTGTATGTGTTTGTCACTAGCTCTGGCCACCTTCATGCTTCTCTTGATTTCTGTTTCCTCACCTAAAAAAATTAGGTCAAATAATACCAGCATGATTGTTCTAAGGATCAAATCAGCAATATTAATCAGTGCATTTCAAAAAAATGATAAAAGAATCATGCTGATTTGGGCATGGTTTAGACACTGTATATACTACTACTGGTGGGGGAAAGTTAGTTATTTCAGGTGCCTTTTTCATAGAATATTCCCTAGAGCACCTGAGGGCACATAGTAAGAGCAGGCTTGAGGCCACTCTGTGGCCTACCTCAGAGGTAGGACAGGGAGGCCTGTCACCTCTACAGAGACAGGAGTAGGTTCTGCATGAAAGCTGTGACAAGGGCATACAGATGTGGGACCGGGAACCAGCTTTGTGGCAGGACTTGGAGGCTCCGGTTGAAACAAGTGTCTCATGGCCTGTAGGAAAAGAGACATTTTTAGCTTTTGACTCTGACCCAGGACAGAGCAAGTAGAGATGATGATCTCTGTAGCGGGCTCAGGAAAGCCTGCCAGGCAAGTTCTCCAAAGTCTCAATCCAACGTCTCCTGAGAAAATTCAGAGCATCCTGGACTGGAAAATCAAGCAGTCACATCTGATCCCAGAGAAAATTCAGTGTCTGTCTGTAATCTGGGGAATGAGACCTACTTAAATTATAACTCGTCCTTTTTGAATCTGGTTTTCAGGTGACTGTACAAGTGAGAAGAATCAAGCAAGACAGATGCTGCGGACCCTCAGGTAACTCCCAACTTTCGGGGGCTGTGAAACATATAATGTGGTGAAGGCTTTAGAAGCAAGTGACAGAAGCTCAAAGAAGCAGGAGTTTTCACACCCCACAAAAAGCAAATGGCTGATTATAACATCAAATCAGTATGTGTCCCTAGTGATGAAGTGGTCTTGTTTCCTATTTTTTTTAATTTATTATTATTTTGGTCCCATTCTCATATTAGTTCACCAATTTAGCAATACAAGCTGCTCTAACCTAACTATTCAGTCTTAGGAGTCTCCTGTATCCCCAGGGGCCCCTCTGATTTCCCCTAGATCTTTAAAGACCAGAGTGAGATTGTATCTGGTTTCTTCAATGGTGACCCCAGAGGTGCTGGCAGATGTTAAATATCTACAAATTTTCCTCGCAAAAAAAAAAGAAAAAGACATACTGTATGACAGTACTTTGGGAAGGAGGTCTAGAAACGACAAGACACCTGGGAGACCACATTGCCTCGGGAAGCAGTTTTAAATAGGCGACAGCAAATACTACTGAACACATCATGTTCACGGAGTCTGCTGAACTCTCAAGGACATCTGGTTGTCTTGTGAAGGAGCCAGGAGCATTATTGAAAGGGCTGAATGGGTCTTCTCTCTTCCTCAGGATGTTTGTGGCCAAGGCACTGGGCAGCTGTTGTTTTCCCCTAGCCCCCACTCTCCACCCCCAGACAGAAACCAACTGTTTGGCTTCTCCTCCGAAAGAACAGTCTCCTTGACTTCTGGCGCTTGTCCTGTGAGCCACCAGATCATTACAGCCGTGTCATTCAGGTGACCTTTATTTTTCCTCTTTCTTACCCCACCAGTCTCTTAAGGGAAATGCATAAGAAGGGTAAAGTGACAGAAGTCCTAAGGACCAGGCAGGAGGCCCAGCCCCATACTCTGCCTCAGATCCACTCCAGCAACCATGGCCAGTCTGCCCCCCATATGTCCTCCAGCAGCATCTCCCCGCTTCATGAAGAGCAAGAAGAACGCCCTTCAGTGGATGTGGCCAGTGAGTACCCTTCCGTGTCCAGTTGCTAAGTGCTTGCTCCTTTGTCTACACGAAAAGTAGGTATCTTTGCAACCAGGCCCTGCAGATCCACTGTGATGTCCCTGGTAGAGCCCGGGCCCAGGACTCAGTGCCAAGCATAGGCCCCAAAAGGGTCAGGTAGCTCTTTTCCATTCCTAGACCCACACGGCCTCAGCCACCAGACCCCCTCTGGCACGTACATGGTGTTGGACTTGAGGGGAGGAGTCATGAGTTGGGAAGGAGATGGGGCAAATGCTCCCTCATCACTGCAACCCAATCATGTCATCTTGCAGGTCATGGCCATGAACATCACTAACATTGGGCCTCTGATCTTGAAATCCTTGGGGTAAACAGTCATGGTTCCTATTTTCTGTTTGCCACTACATATTCTTTCTCATTTGTGGATTTGCAGATCCCATCCATCATTCTAATAATTCAGCTATAATATCCTCTGAATCCTCATTAACTGGGATCTATCTCGGGTTCAGGCTGAATCCATCACCAGCCTGCCCCTCCCCAGAATCCCCCAAGGAGAGCCCTTGGGTAGCCACGGTGGGGGGTAGGTGGAGGAGAGTACATTTAAAATCAAACCTTCATTTTCTCCTGCTCAGTTTTCTCTTTAACTTCCCTCCCGAGAAAAGCATTTCTATTTTTAAGGAACTATAGCAATCAAATCCTGGTGTGGACAACACCGAGAAACCATCCTTCGTTTCTGGGTATATCTGATTTTTTTTTTCCTGAATTGACTGTTTTAGGCAATGAATGAGCCATAATGGGTTTGACCTGGTACTATTCCTGTTTCTCATTTTACCCTGAGGATCAGAGCAGCATAGTGTTTCCCTGAGGATTATAGAAACCAAGGAAAGAAGAAATTCACATGGATTGAGCACATATTTAATGCTCACATTATTGACTATTTTACATCTCTTGCCTCATTTAATCAGCACAAGCATCCACCTCGTAGGTGCTGGTGTCCCAATTTTACAACACAGCCGAGGACACCGAGGCTCAGCGAAGTCAGGGAACTTACTGAAGAGCGCCCAGCTTGGGGGTGCCATCCACCGGGAGCCTGCGTGACTCGAAAGCTCAGACTGCCCGCTGCACTGCAGCCTGAACAGCCAGGGACAGAGCAGGGAGGGAGTCACCTCTTCCCACACCTCTTTTGCTGGGTTTCTGGAGCCAGTGTTGTCCCCATTCCACTCTTTGTGACAAAGGTCTAGCCTCTGCACATGAGACAAGACCCTATACACACTGCACTTTCACCCAAGAATTTATAAATAAATGGGCTGCCCTTGATATGTATGTGATCTCCTCCAAGGGGCCACTGGGGTTTGACCTACATCCATGAACTCAGTTGCCCAAAGGCACTTGACTCCACCTCATTGCTACCCTGAGAGACGGTAGAAGGGCAGACTCCACTTCCCCTCACCTGCAGTTCCTGCCACGACTTACAGGAATGGTCACACTTGAGATGTGGCCTCTGAGGTGGCATCAGCTTTATGTTCTGCCACCTCTAGCTTTTCTGAGGGAGACTGAGGCCCTTTTTTCCATCTGAAATCAATATCCTCTCAGAGGGGCAATGGCTTATCACTTGCTCCTCCTTTGCTTTTTGAGCCAAAACTTCTAGAGTAGTTACCAAAAAGTGTGACTGGTGTGGCAGCTTCCCTGTGAGGAGAAATTCTCCTCACAAGAGGCTGTTCTCCGTTGCTTTCTGTGTATAGTGTAGGGCATGATTTCTGTGTTGTGTGGCCAGGGGAGACATGAGAATGCTGATCGCTGTTACTGATGGACTTGGACCTCCTATGGCCTTGGTTGAGAGTAAGCTGGTTTTCTGGAGAGGGTGGTAAAGGAGGTTTGGAAGGGGCTGGAAATCACCTTTTGGTTGAGTTCTTACATTGTTGGGCATCGTGCTGAAGGCTTATGTAGTTTACCTTCCTCTTTATTCCACAGTGATGCTAATTACATCTGGTATTAGGTTATACCATCCATAAAGGAAGGAGAAGACCCACTGGATATTGATTTAAGTGCACAGTTCCTTAGAGGAACTTGACTTGGTTGAAGGGAACTAAGGACTTCACTCCTACCTGCTCAGAGGAGAAACTTGTTACTCTGTGGCCCTTGATAATAATCCTTGAAAGGGAGCTGACTCATATTTTTAGTTGAATTATGGCCCTGCCACCCAAGTGGGGTTTTTTTCACAAAGGGAGACAGCAAAAGGCATAGCCAGGTTCTCATAGCATCATTGATGCTATATATTTTTGGGTCTACAATCCCCCATGCAGAAATAACCCTGGCATTCTTTGGACAGGAGTCAGACAATCTAAACTATATTTAAGAATTATTTTTACAGTCTCGTGAGCCATTCTGGGTGGGATCCAAATCACCACTTGCCTTCCTCTGAGACTCCCTCAGCCTCAGTAGGCATCCAGAGTAGGAGGCAGGAGGAGTGGGAAGCACCAGGAGCGTCACCCTACCCTGTTTAAGTTCTCTGTACATTGGTTATTAATGGAAGCCATTTTCTCTTTCTCTTCCTCCTCCAACAACCCCCAATATAGAACAGTCTCATGAAGGGCATTGACTGTTTGGTGAGTGTATTACCTGTTCACAGACCAGCAAAATGCGTCATCTCCTTAATCTCATGATTTCTAAGATTGGCAGTTGAGTTCTGCTCCTGGAGGAGATATTTCTGCAGTACCTCTTGGATCATTCCAGCATTGGGAATCATGGAGGGAGCCAGGAGAAGGGCCCTTGTAGTTTTCCTGTGCATGTACTGTAACCCTCAGATACTACATCCAACCACTACTTCTTTGTTTTTCCTTTTTTTAAAGTTCAAGTATAGTTAGCATACAGAGTTATATTAGTTTCAGGTGTACAAGAGAGTGATTCAACAATTCTATGAGGCGCCTGGGTGGCTCAGTCAGTTGAGTGTGCGACTCTTGGTTTCAGCTCGGGTCATGATCTCAGGGTCGTGAGATTGACCCCCACATCGGTCTCCGTGCTTGGCATGGAGTTTGCTTAAGATTCTCTCTCCCCCTTTTCCTCTGCTCCTCCCCCATGCTTACTCTCTCTCTTTCTCTCTTAAAAAACAAAAACAAAAAACAATTCTGTACATTTCTCAGCACTCATCATGATAAATCTACTCTTAATCCCCTTCGCCTATTTCACCCATCGCCCCACCCACCTCCCCTCTGGCAACCACCAGTTTGTTCTCCATATTTAAGAGTCTGGTTTTTTGTTTCTCTCTTTTTCTGTGTTCATTTGTTTCTTAAATTCCACATATGAGTGAAATCATATAGTATTTGTCTTTCTCTGACTGATTCCACTTAGCTCCTTCCATGTTGTCACAAATGGCAAGATTTTGTTCTTTTCTATGGCTGAGTAGTGTTCCATTGTATATAAATACCACATCTTCTTTGTCGATTCCTCTATGGGTGGACACTTGCTTCCATAATTTGGCAATTGTAAATAATGCTGCAGTAAACATAGGGGTGCATATATCTTTTCAAGTTTGTGTTTTTGTTTTCTTTGGGTAAATACCCAGAAGTAGAATTACTGGATCGTACTGGTAGTTCTATTTTTAATTTTTTGAGGAACCTCCATACCGTTTTGCACAGTGGCTGCACCAGTTTGCATTCCCACCAACAGTGCATGAGGGTTCTGTTTTCTCCACATTCCCACTCACCAACACTTATTTCTTGTGCTTTTTATTCTAGCTATTCTGACAGGTGTGAGGTGATATCTCATTGTGGTTTTGATTTGCCTTTCCCTGATGATGAGTGACATCGAACATCTTTTCATGAGTCTGTTGGCCCTCTGTATGTCTTCTTTGAAAAAAACATCTATTTGTGTCCCCTGCCCATTTTTTTATTGGATTATTTGGGGAGTTTTGGTGTTGAGTTATATAAGTTCTTTATATATATATATATATATATATATATATATGTGGATATTAACCCCTTATTGGATACATCATTTGCAAAATATTCTCATTCAGTATGTTGTCTTTTTGTTTTGTTGAAGGTTTCCTTCACTGCACAAAAGCTGTTTATTTTGATATAGTCCCAATAGTTTAATTTTGCTTTTGTTTCCCTTGCCAAAGGAGACGTATCTTGAAAAATGTTGCTATGGCAGATGTCAAAGAAATCACTACCTGTGCTTGAGGTCTCTGGTATCTGCTTTAGTCTTCATTCCGTGGATTACTGTATTCGTTTTTTAAGGCTGCTGTAACAAAGTTTCACAGACTGTGTGTCTTAAAACAACAGATGTTTGTTCTGTCCAAGTTCTGGAGGCTAGAAGTCTGAAATCAAGGTGTCATCAGGGCCATGCTCCATTTTCCTTGCCTCTTCCTAGTTTCCAGTGGTCTCTGGGAGCCTCCCTTGGCTTGTAGATGGATCACTCCAGTGTCTTCCTCCTGACTCCCTCGTCATGGGGTCTTCTCCCGCTGTGTGCCTCTTTATCTGTATCTCCTCTCCTATTCTTATAAGGACATTAGTCATATTAGATGAAGGTCCACCCTAATCCAGTATTGTCTCATCCTAACTCATTACACCTGCAAAGACCCTATTTTCAAATAAGGTCACATTGTGAGGCTCCAGGTGGACATGACTTTTTGGAGGACACTATTCAACCCAGTATGATTATCTTTAAAACACTTTATTTCTGACTTCCCATTGGTTCCTCCCTCACGTTCCTTTCTGGACAGGTGTCACCCCAGCCATTCCTGCTGATTCACCTTCGTTGCTCCGCAACCATCCAGATGCCAGATCTGCCCAGCCCTCCCATCCTCTGAGAGGCACCACACAACTGAGCAGGACAGCAGACCCAGGGCACCAGGGCAACAGTGGCCCATGGGACGAGATGAGGCCTCAGAAAATGAATGCATCTGGGCATCTATCCTCCTTCTCCTCTTTGTACCGGCCCAACTCCAAACCCTCTGGTAAACACAAATGAGCAGATGGCGAAGTAGAGCCCATTGATGGGAGTGGACACATTCTTTCCGGGCCCAAGGATTTTTTTATTTCTGTTAGATCCTGATTCACAGAACTGGGTGAGATGAAGGGGGCAGTATCCTGTGGCTCAGCCAGAGAATGAGATGCCAGCCCCATGCTGGTCCTTTCTAAGTGCCTCTCCCATTCCCCCTACAGAGGGCTTCCCTCTGAGCAGGAGAATACAGGAAGTTGGGGGCATTCTGAGGTACTCCACCAAGAGGAGGAGTTGCTTCACATTCATGTGCTCCCTTTTCTCTGTGCTATAATCTTCCTAGGCCTAGGTTGAGACTGCTCTTAGAACTCCCAGCTCAGGCTTACATGGGAAAGGTCTTCCTTAGGTCAAGAGCTATTTATTGCAGGATGGGAAACTATTTCTATAGGTACACACTCACGCGCTCTTTGTATGCAACTATAAGTCAGTCTTGCCTCTCAAACTTTGCTATTGAGTTTAGAGCCAGGCATCGTGGCCACCAGTGACTAGAGGTGCAGCCATGAAGAGGAATGGCTTAAAGCACCTCAGTTTCTAGGACCCAGACAGTATAACAATAAGACATTTGAAATTCTCAGAGAAAAACCTGACCCTAAGCAAGGTGTCCTGGTAAATGAAGCCCATTCTTTCCCCTTCCCTTTGTGCATCCTTTGCCTTCCTCAGAGGTGCCCCCTTCTCTCCTGTTCCTCCTTCAGGTCCTAACACCTCCCCAGGTCCTTCCTTGTCACTCTTCACCAAAAGTGGTTAAAGAAAACACTCAATATCACTCATTATTTACTGCCTGATTTAATTTCATATGCATTTACCTTAGTCTTTCTATTAGTGGGTGGATGTTACAGATTTTCAGTCATGGATCCTCAGGTAGGATAGGTGTGCGGTTAGAGAGAGAGGCCCTCTGGATTGCTACCAAAGGAGGCAGACTAACCTTCTCACTGTTAGGCCCATCCTACTTGGAGGCCTGTAGCAGATTCTAACCCTTGTTTTCCAGCCCAGTGTCCATCTCCCTCAGATGTACTCGGCCTCTATCTGGGAGGAGGAGGCCCTGTGGGGTTTCCTTACAGAGGGCCATCTTGTATTTGAAAGCCCAGGAGCTCTTTAAACAAAGTTGCCTGGTGCTTCCTGGGTGCCCAGGTGAGAGAAAGAAGTTGACAGAAGTACAGGGATGGGCAGGGATCTTGCACAGAAGTTCTAGGCAGGCTCCATAGCTGCCCACAGTGGTTGGCTTCCCCCACCTCTTACCTCTCCCATGTCTTGGTGGGAAGCAACAGGGGCTGACCTACTGGAAAAGAATCTTGTGGAGATCCAGAACCTGCGCCAGCGCCTGGAGGAGTCCATCTGCCTCAACGACCGCCTGCAGGAGAGGCTGGAACACGTGCTCAGCTGTGCTGACAAAGGAAAAAGTAGGAAAGGCAAAAAACTGGTTCTGCCCACAGCTAGAGTCTCAAAGGGCACATAGGTTCCCAGTTAAAAGGCACGTCAGTGTGCATGCAATACCCTAGCTTTCCTCACAATCTGCCCAGAGAGGGAAGCAGGGCAGGCTCTGTTGTCCCCACTTTATAAATGAAGGCACTGAGTGTTCTGCCCCAGGCAGGGCTAGGTCTCATGCTCAGGGCTATCTGACACAGTGCCCGTTCTTGTAACTCCCAACACTACCTGCTGATGCACCTGGCTTATGGCCTGACTGGCACGTGGTAGAACTGAGACTTCCGGGATGCCCCCTTCAGCAGAGGGAGGACCACATCCCAGTTTCTTACCACTGCCACATGCCCTGGATACCACCTGCCACTGCCCATATGTGAAAGGCCCATATTCCCAGACTTTCCACAGGATGCTGTCACTCGGAGGCCAATACTTGCATATCCCTTCTCCCTTGCCAAGCTCAGGAGAATGGCGGCCAGGGCCCCTACAACATCCCAGTAGCAGCTAATTCATGGGCAAGACTGTCCCACAGCTGCAGCCATTGCACATGAGGGTGTGGCCCGCTATAGTGTGACTCAGCCACACCACACTGTTGTGCCAGTGCATGAAACCCCCCAGGTTTTCTGTGTGGCTAAGGCTCTAGCTTTGGTGGTTGCAGGGAAGTATATCTTTGAGAGCATCTGTTTCCCAAAGGTATGACTTGTCTGGGTTTTTTAACTCCCTCTGACAGTATCCACATCTGGCTTCCATGGGTAGAACCCGGAGTCTGTGCCTCAGCTCTACCACAAGAAAAGGGCCTTTAGGAAAGCAAACTGGAGTTTTCAGGCTTACAGAGGGCAAACCCCAAACCTGGCCACTTCCATGTCCCCCCTTTCCACAGCAGTACCCAGTTGCAGAGACAAAGAGAAGAGGGTGGAAAGTACAAAAATTGCCCGGACCCACATGGGCCAAAATTGTAATAGTTATTCTCAATTTGGATAAGGCTGCTGCTTAGAAGGTCCGAACCTCCCATCTACACATCCCTAGCAACGTAGGAGCAAAGGGCTCTGGGAAATTCACATCTCATGTATTAGTCCCTTGCTCCAGCTTTGCAGGTAACAGGAGTCACCAGCTGTGAACTGGATAGCAGCTTGGTGCTCTCTCCCTCCCTTTCCCACTTCCAGCTGAGTGTGAATAAGGAGGGAAAGGAATGTCAGTTTGTTTCGAGTAGTCAATGAAGAGTTCCCTATGTCCCTGCAGACATCACTGGTGCTCTGTCTCTCCCTCCCTAGGCACCACACGGTCCGCTCCAGGTGTCTCCCTTGCAACCCCTCATTCATATGCTCCCAGTCACTCTTCCGGCTCTGCTCAGGACATCTTGTGACATATGATGTCTGGACGGTCTAGAAGGATGTTCTCCAGGACTTCTCCAGCCCTATCCAACAACATTCTTGGCTGTGAACTTGGAGGCATCGACATCGACCTTTAAAAGAATGGATCAAATTAATAAATTCTTATTTAAAAATTATCGTTTACATGTATTGAACCACCTATAAAGAGTAAAATTTGTGAGGAAAGAATAAAACCCGTAATGGCCAGAAATTCATAGAAAAGGTTAAAGGAAAAATGGGTTTTCTCTATTAGCTATTTCTTTATTATTATTTTTTTTTTGCAGAACACTTCTTTATTACAGCAACACATAAAGAAAATATAACTTTAAATGTTTATGAGCACAACTGTACATTATTACGACTGCTGGTTTACTCAGTTTGCTCAAATTTGGAGAAATAGCTTATATGTAATTCTTGAAATTCACTGACCTTCTTTATAAAAATGTGGGATTGAAATGCATGCACACATTTTTAAGAGTATATAAATTTTCACTCTACTGACTTTATTCCCAATCTCAGCATTTTCACACATCCTTGGTGAGTTAACCAAACTCAAGGCCTTTTGTTACTAAGCAAACCGGCAAGGTTATGTGTGCCAGGGGCAACATCCTTAAAAGTTAATGAATAGTAACTGCTGGTCACCAATAGATTTTTGACCTAGTTCCTTCTTCCTTGAGGGCAAACGAGCTTTCACCTGCACATTCAGTCCAACCCCTAAAGACTGACGATCCTTCAAACCCCTCCTTAGAAGTACTTCATTAAATAGCCATTTCCATTTTAATAGTAGGGTGAGGATTATACTCCTCAATCTGGAAGTATTCAGCCTTGAGGCATCGATTGTCTCAACTTTTAGAAGCATTTTGAGGTTCTCAGCAGCTCCACGTGATTCAGGTAGATATGTGCATCTCCCAAAGTAATTATGAAGTTAGCTGGCTTCAGGCCTGTGCTGTGTGAGACCATGTAAATGAGCAGGGCCTACACAGCTGATGATGAAGGGCTCACCCAGGCCCATGGCTCAAGACCTGTGGCAAACCTGGCAGGACAGCTCACCATTCACAGCATAGAACCGGCACAGGGCGTGGTGGGGAGACAGGGCCAGAAGAGGAAGAGCCTTTGGATTCCAGCCACACAGGATGATTCTTCTGTCACCAGGGTTGGTTTGGATTGCGTCAGTCGCCTTCTGCAGTTGGT